GTAGATTTCAAAGACATCAAGCCGTATTTAGGCAACGTCAGCGATTTGGAAAATTTCATTAAGGTAGCGAAGGAGAAGGACCAACAAATCTTTTTGGACCTGGATCCCAACCATTCCTCCGTGGAGCATCCGTGGTTTAAACAGTCTGTAGCGATGGTGGAACCATACACGTCCTATTACGTCTGGCGAGATGGAAAATTCAGCACTGAAGGCGGAAGAAAAGAGCGAAGTCCTCCGAATAATTGGGTTAGTCATACTTCTCTGCGACAAGTAATTTTTCCGACGTGGGGGACGAGTGACGCGACTTTGAACTTGAAATAAACTTTCGCAGTTGAGCGTGTACGGCGGATCCGCGTGGGAATGGAACGAACAAAGGCGCCAATATTATCTGCATCAGTTTAACAAGTCGCAGCCTGATCTGAACTACAACAACTCGGCAGTGGTGGCAGAATTCGGAGTAGGTTTTCTCGAATTTTTAGCCGACCGATTTATTTCTCAGCCTTGATCTTCGTACGTCTCATCGTCCTGTTTGCCATTTTCAGGACGTCTTGACTTACTGGCTGAAATTGGGCATTAGCGGTTTCCGCTTGGCCAACACTCAGTATCTAACGGAGGATCCGAACTTTCGTGATGAGAAGGGTAGCCTTCATGCCATAGATTCGAGCAAATATCAGTCGCTCTCGCACGTTTACACGCGCGATCGTACGGAGAACGCCGCGATATTGTCAACATGGCAGGAAATAGTTCGCAACGAGACCGCTGGCAAAGGGTAACGCTTGTTTCGTATCGTCGCGTGCCACCGATATCGGCTAACGTGTATCTATTTACAGATTGTTCTCGCTGCAAGATGACATTGGCGTGGACATCTTGCAAGTTTACAATGATAAGATGATAATTGACCTGCCGCAGAGCTCGCATTTCCTCACTACTGCCAACGCGAGCATAAACGCGACGGACTTGCGTAAAAGCATAACGCAGTGGCTTGGCGTTACGCCGTGGCCTGCGTGGAATGTACGTGTAATTAATTGTATCGCATAATTTCAAAGATTACGCTCTAGTCTTGCACTACGTAATTTAAAGGAATGTGACATTTTGTAAGCGTGTACGTATGTCAATCGCAGGTAAATGGGAAACAGCGTTCCCTGAGGCAACGTATGCCTAAAGACGTCGCAGATAGTATTGTGTTAATGACTATGTTACTACCCGGTACGCCGATTCTACGACTAGACGACGTCATGTCTGCGAAGGACGCGTTTGCAATTTTGTCTAGTGCCCGGAGTGGCCTAACGTTCCTTCACGGGAACACGACGCTCAGAATTGTAAACGGGACTGTCTTCGTGTACGCGAGGTGAGTTTCCTTTTGTGCCAATTTATTTAAAAGTATTGATACACGCGATAATGATTGACCTCACAAATTTATGTATCGAATATTCATTCGCGAATCACTTTTGGAAGCGTTGGGCAACAGATTAGCATATGTTATCAATTATCGGGTTAGCTTAGGAAATTAGTCGTTTAGATTGTGCCTCCAATTTCTATCCGAGTGATTTGATTTATATGCGAGAGGGACGACTCTTTATGCACATGAATGAAGGAGGTCGGTTTTAATTGGATAATTGAATTCATCCTTCACGCATACAATTGACTTTACGTCGAGTTACCCTTAAACGTCTTGGCTCGTATTCTCATGGTGCTTTTAGCGATACGTCTGTCGCTTAATTTGCATTTCGTACGAAGAATAACGGGGTTTCTCATGACAGACGAGTAAAAGCTCCTGAGCACCTTCGGCGTTAAATATCTTCGAAAATGCGGTCTAACTAAAAAAATGCTTTACGCACATAATAAGTACAATAGACTAACCAAAGATTAATTTTCCCTGTTCCACGCTTCCTTATATGCGACACAGGAGTTGGTGAGTCCACGTTACTAACATATCGCGATTACGCTTCGCTGTAAAAAGCTTAACTGCATGCAAAAGTACAGTAAAACCGACTGACGTGACGATTCCGCATATAATTAACACTTTTTATCGTACAGACGCTTCGAAATGCATCGCTACGCTTGAATCAAATCCGAAAGTATGTCAATAAATACGTAAATTAACATTTATAGGCTAAAAAGCGGAAATCCAGGATATCTCGTGGCGTATCAGACCGCAAACGAGCCGGCCGTTATAAATCTGTCCGGCATACCGCGGATATCAGAGGAGATCAATGTAGTCGCGCATAGTCCCAACTATGTCCAGAATACGGAAGTAATAAAGTAAGGGCTTTCACGATCTGTAAAAATCTCCGCCTCTTACGTTCAACAATTCAATATCGAAACTTTACCACTTTTTCAGGACGAAATTGCCGTCGGCTGCTGTGCCCATATCACCGAAGAGCACACTGATCCTAACATTTGTACCGAAAGAATCATAACCGGTCCGAAAGAGTACAGGAGCGATCGGCTATACACGATTGCGCTTTTTGCTTCAATATATGAAACTGAAGGAAATCAAGCTTTGCGTCAAAAACATAAAAATTGAATTGCATTGAAGTTCAAAGTAACGGCAATATACACTCTGTCAAATAAATACCGGGAATCGTTCAACAAAACACAAAATATTGGTTTAATCATCGAAATTTATGTTGCCGCCTTCAAAATAGGCCCCATTTGAAGCGATACACTTATGCCAACGATCCAGTTGTGAATAATCCAGTCGTCGAAACACTTCTTATAGGCACTTTCCGGCATGGCCTTCAGCACCCTCTGCGAATTTTGTTTTATGGCTTGAGTGGACTCAAAACGTCTTCCACGAAGTGGTAATTTGAGTTTGGGGAACAAGTAAAAGTTACACGGGGCCATATCTGGCGAATACGGTGCTTGGTCGACGACATTCGTTGGGTCTTTGGTCAAAAATTCGCGTACAAGATGTGTGGGACTGCGCATTATTTTGGTGCAAAATCCAAGAATTGTTCTTCCACAAAACTGGCCTTTTCCGGCGAACATTCTCTCTCAAACGCCTCATAACGATCAGATAATATTGTTAACTGTTTGACGATTTTCCATCACCATTTTTCCTTCACTTTGTCGATGTTGAAGGTCGACCGGAACAAGGCAAGTCTTCAGTCACTTCTCGGCCTTCTTTGAATGTTTTGTAACACTCGTATGCTCGTGTTTTCGACAAAACTGACTCACCGTAGGCCTTGTTCAACATTTTCAACGATTCAGCACGAGATATTTCGTTGGCAACACAAAATTTGAAGCTCTTTGTTCGATATTTTTATCCATTTTAAAAATCGCAGAGCATACTTGAGGTCTTTTTTTTTTCTTTTTAAGTTTACCCTTTTATGGGAACGCCTTTCAACCGTTACGTTATATCAGCGTATTATTTCTAAAAATTCCTTGAAATTCGTTGTGCTTAATCGCAAACACTGAATCCAACACTAGGCACTTAAACTCCTTCAGGTGCGGAATCTTTGTAAATTTTCCCTGACGGAAAAAAACTCAACGTAACGCCAAGTCACGCTAAACGGCTCCCCCGATCGCGTACGTTGTTGCAGCGACGAGAGCGTTTCGTTGGTTCGCCCACGTCGATCGTGCGATCGCTTTCGCGACCTGAGAGGATTGGAGAGTTACTCCCCGCGAGTTGTACGTGCGTAGAGTATACGGAATACGGAAACGAAACGCCGAGAGCCGAAGGGTTTGCGAAGCAGCGGCGAGACGGCGATGTCGCGATGTGAGAACAATGTAAGTGACGTGTGCTCCTCTGATCTATGAAATCTCTCGCCGCGAAAGCTATGACACTGTGAGCCTCGCGGCGATCTCTGCAGCGCTAACAAGGATGGTTTTCAACAAAAAGATCCTGGGTAAGGTGTTCTCGCCTAGCAAAGTGAGGAAAGCGGGCGTGAAACGGCTGTCGCCCGGCTCGGCGAAGCCGAGCACGAGCGGCTCTACGATGAAAACCGAGATCTCGATCAAGGTAATCGTGAGAGTGCGTCCGCCTAACAAGCACGAGTCACAGGACAAAAAAAAACCGGACGGTCATCGAGGTCGTGGACGACAAGTTTATCTTCGACCGGGTGTTCGACTTGGCGTCCAGCAACGCCGACGTGTTTGAAAGAAGCACTAAGAGTCTGATCAGCAGCCTCCTCGACGGCTACAATTGCCCTGTGTTCGCGTACGGTGCCACCGGCGCCGGCAAAACTAACACGATGCTGGGCAACAGGGAGGACCCCGGCATCATGTACCGCACCATGGCGCAGCTGTTCGCCGAGATAGAGAACCAGAGCAAGCACCGGGAGTTCAATCTGGGCGTATCGTATTTGGAGATTTACAATGAGAACGTGCAGAACCTGCTGCACAAGACCGACCAGCTGCATCTGAGGGAGGACGGTAGGTGCGGAGTGGCGGTCGCCGGTCTAGAGCCGATCGCCATCCAGAATGTCGAGGAGTTGCTCTCGCTGCTGGCGGAGGGTAACAAGAATCGCACTCAACATCCAACGGACGCCAATAAGGAGAGCAGCAGGAGCCACGCGGTCTTCCAGGTGTACATCAGCATGATTAACAAGCTGGACAGGCAGGTGCAGCAGCAGGTCAAGCTGTCCATGATCGACCTGGCAGGATCCGAGAGCACCTCATCTACCGGAGGCAAGGGTGTGAGATTTATGGAAGGCGCCAACATCAACAAGTCCCTGCTGGCTCTCGGGAATTGCATTAACAACCTCGCGGATGGGCTAAAGCACATCCCGTACAGACTCCAAGCTCACGAGGCTACTGAGTGGCAGGCCTCTCGACGAGAGCCTGCAGAGCAAGCTGTCCCTCCAAATTTCCAAACTGTAGGGACGCTGGATCTTCAGTATGCAGCAGCGCGTCTGATTTTTTTTTTTTTTTTTCCGGGACGATGGTCGGGAACGAACCGAGGATCCTGCTATTACTGATCACTCGTGTTGGCGCTGAGCTACACGTCATCCCATATACTTGAGGTCGAGTAACAAAACCAATAGCTATAAACAAACTGATTGACAAATGGCGCCAAAACTTTACGTGACAATTAGGTACATTGGCACCAACTTACAGCGAATAATTCTTTTTCACACCTTTTACGCGGGCTTTTTAAACGAACAATTCCCAGTATTTATTTGACAGAATGTAGATAGAATCTCGAGGCCCTTAAAATGCGAAATTATTTAGATTTTCGCAGACGCTTGTTTGACTTGATCATGTATTGAAACCAAATATAGTGTGTGAAAAATGTTCCATTGGAATTACATATACCTATGTATAACAGTGTGCAGTAAAAAAAAGTGTATCTCAATATCCGTACTGAAAATATATTCGTACGTAGCGAGCATCAGACACGAGGATTTGTAATTTCTTCTTAGGTGGACGCCTACGTTGTTGCTCGAAAATTACAACGACTGTTGGAAGAAAATCTTTATTAAAAGAATCCCGCGATGCTCTCACGCGCATGTGCGCAAGATCGTGCTTTCGTTACATAATAAATACACAGCCTAAACGTGCCGCAATCTTAGGCCGGTATTCATAGTCGGATCTTATGTTCAAGACCGTTTTAAATTTATATAAAGATACTGTATGGGGAACGTTTTATTGGCTGTGGAGTATCTAAAGATGATCTTGAGACGATCTTGAATATAAAATTTTACTATAAATATCCGTCTTAGATGTGCGGCAGACAGTATGTACACGAGATCTGCTTGGAAGACTCATTCGATGTGGAGCTTGTGCGGATCGGTGAATCTGGCCGTTATGATGTAAAACAGGGCGGGTAGCACAACCAGGGCCAGCATCGCGGGATGAATGCTGATTTCGCGAAGAGTCGCAACTGCTATCACGCCGTATCCGTGCAGCAGCCAGTGACCCAAAATTACTATTACGTTTTTTACATCCGAGACGGAGCTCAGCAGCAGCGACTTCACCGTCTGGTTCAGTTTGAACGCGAAATGCGCCGCGTTCGAGAGCACCGACAGAACAATCGTGATATAAGGGAAAGAGTAATCTGCGAAGAAAGTAAAGAAATATATATTATATATCTAGCGATTACCACGTAATTTTGTGGTATTCTATAAAATACACGTGACGTACATATCAGGCCTCCTCCCACGGCGTGGAGCAATGCGAGGATCGGGTAGAAGTACAATGCCGCGTAGATAGAGAACTTGCCTTGTTTCGGCAAAAATTTCCTGGCTATCAATGGCCTTATCAGTAACATGAGGACTATTCCCAGCGCATAGAAGACGAAGACCATAGTGTACCTGTGCAATCGTAATATAAATTAGAAATTCACGACACATGTCAATATGATACAGAATATCCTGATAGATCACGCCGACAGTGGAATATCTTTTGGAAATAATGGCTTGAACTTTCTGAAAAAATTGTAACGTGTATTTCTATGCCAAGTGAATACTAGTCGCAATCTTGTGTCGTCGTTGGTCATACAAGTGCGCTACAATTTTCGGAGGTTTAAATGAAAGTTCTGTTATTCTCACGTAATACTAACAACGGATAAACCGCCTCCTGCGTGCAGTGCAAGGTCGCTTCGTAATTGGGATTCGGGTTATGCAGCAGGGTGTACCAGTCCGACAGCTTTTTCGCCTTGCACGACTTTATGTTGAACGTGCCGATGGGATCCGTCAGCTGCAGGACTATGAGGGACGCCAGGACCACCTCGAACAACGCGGACAGGTGGAGGGCGATCACCTCCTTGGGTATGTTGCGACGCATGGCGACCATGTCGATGCAGAACCAGTGCAGCACGAGGGCCACCAGGGCCATGAAACCCAGGTAGAGCCAGTCGTAGAACATGGGCGCGTCCATGCAGGGCTCGCATACCGTACCGTTGGCCCGGAAGCCGCGCGGGCAGGCGCCGCAGTCGCTCCAGTTGCCGCTCGGCAGCAGCTCCCTGCCGCAGTACAGACCGGGACACAGCGTCAAGTCGTTCATGGCTGTCGCTCGCTTCTCCAGAGAGAGAGCTCTTCTGAAAGCAAGGGGCGAATTTATTGGCACAGATATGCAACCAGAGCTCCGATCTTAGATCCAATCGCTCTTTTGATGGAGGAAATTATGAGGTAGGCTTCTAAATGTGAGATACCAGGTTTTCAACGTCCAAATTGGATCGCAAATCTTTTTTTCGCGGCGACTGCACGATCTAACAATGAATTTTCCACTAAACAGATTTCACCTCGGGAGCGACAAATTCACGGCGGAACCAAGAGACGACGACGCTCGTTGGTTTATCAGAAACCCGGCTATCTCATATTAGGAGCTTGGCTCGCAATAGGGGACTTTACTGTAAAATAATTTTACCAGGTCCCCTCGCGAAGCCTCACGCGACTCAGAACGTTTTCAACTCTTCTCTCATTATTGTGGTTCGCTCGCATCACCTCGCCTCGCTTTATAGGTTAAACTAGATGAGCTCCGCGTGCTACATGCTCGACGATGCCTCTTTTTTTTCTCTCGGTATACATCCAACCTGTCGAAAACAAAATGTTAGCCCTCGCCTGCCTCCTCTCGACCCGCAGACTTCTCTTTCACTCGTTACCTGCCGATCCAGGGACACCGGGAACCACTTCTCGATCTGATCGCCTCCTTGGTGCAACGAACAATAACAAACAGTCCTCTCTCGCAAGCGCGGGCGATAAATTTTTATTGCCGTCGACGGCACGGTGGAAGGTACGGCATCTAGCACGAGCGTCGATCGTCGGCGAGAAAGGCGCTCTCTCTCCCGGTCGGTGAAGTCGCTCGCGCGTATATTTATGGAATTGCGACGAGAATCGACGACAAATGACGCAAGGAGGGCGAGTTATTTATAAGCTAATTGTGCATTTGTTTAGACGAGACCTTTGTGGCCTCGACGCCACGGCGCGGCGATATAATTACCGCTAAAATCGTTATACTAATTGAGGTGGTCGTACGATAATTATAATATAGAGATTGGCTACGGGAGTAAAAACTCTCGCGCGACATTTGACATTTTGCGTGCGTGTATTCCGATACGCGACGCCGATGCATTATCCATCATCGCCGACCGCAACCGAAAAGGCTCGCGCGGCGCCGGCGAGGAAAAACGCGAGCGTACACGGGACTCGCGCGAGTCGCCGCGAATAGCGAACTTTTGGAGGATCGTAAAGCTGTCTATATATCCGCACATTCCGTGCGTGAAAATTTTCCGCGACGCGACTCGGGTCGCCATTTTCATTACCGTGGAGATCGACTTTGATTTCGGTTTAACTTGCCTCTCTTTTTTTTTCTAGTTTCAAGAATTAGGCCCGCCGGGTTGCACCAAACGTCGGTTAACTTTAATCTTAGTTTAATTCGGGATTTTAAAGTAACCAGTCGGAAAGAGACAAAGAACGAATCAAACATAGGCTCGAAGTTAAGCAATTTCACCGGGCGTCGCTTAACTTATTTAATCTTGTACCAATTGGTTTAATTCATGCTTGTCTATTTCTAAGGCCCGGTTTCACCAACGTCGCTTAATTTTAAGCTTGGTTTAATTCGTTCTCTGTCTCTTTCTAAATTAAGCGACGTTTGGTGAACCCGGGCCTAAAGTAACAGTTGGAAAGAGACAATTGGAGAACGAACCGAACTGAGTTCCAAGTTAAGCGACGTTGTTGAAATCGAGCCCGAGGCTTAACTTTAATCTTAGTTTAATTCATGTCTGCGTCCTGCTAAAGTGACAGTTGTAAAGAGACAAAAGCCGAATTAAGCTTGAGCTTACAAGTGAAACAACGTCGGTGAAGCCGGACCTTATAGAAATCGCGAAAAGTTAAACCGAGATTAAAGTTGACCTACATCGGTAGAATGGGATATTAATTACATTAATCATTTAATTGCGATGCATGCACGGTACAATTTTAATCGAACGTCGCAACGTTGACGTACGCTTTCTACGATCCCATGAAAAAGAAAAATGCCTTCCAGTTTTCTTTCGAGACACTCGACTTTACGGATCTCATTCAAGTTCGTCGTATTGTCAAGAGTTGGCGATTTCGAGTAATATTCCAAGTGATTCACGATTCGTCGCGAGTGAATGGATCGAAAATTCGCGAGGGGCGGAGAGAAAAGGAGCGAGGAAGAGAGAAAGAGAGAGAGAGAGGGCGGGAGGGAGAGATCGAAGCCGTCAGTACGCGCATCCGTGAAGCGGCAACGTGATTCGTCATTAACGATCGAGTCCTCGCGCCGCGCCATCTTGCGTTTCAGCGCGCTGGCCCGCCGCGCATCGATCGCGAGCGTTCGCGCCGGCCAATGGCGGCGCGCCATTGGTCGGGGGGCCGCTCGGCGCGCCACGGGCGGCGAGAAGGTTGATCGCGCGACGCCGCCGCCACCTGCCGCGCTCGGGCGCCTCCGTCGACGCTCGGCCGCCTCCGGCCGACGATTGGCGAGCGCATATTACTATTTTCAGGCACACAGGGGCACCTCTTGACGGATTTTCAATAAGTGAAGAGGGCGGCGGTGCGCGGCGCGATATAAGCCTCCGAGATCTACTCCCGTCGGTGTTTTTTTTTTCCCCGCCCGCGGTTCGCCTCTACCGCGAATCGTCTCGCGTACGGGCGTCGCGCGGGGCCCCCCCCCCTCCCCCCAGGCTCAGGAAGCGGCAACGCGGGCATCACCGCGGCGGTGGCGGACGAGCGAGAGATTCGGACGAGGGCGGAGTGGAGAAGAGAGCGGTGTACGCGCGCGCGACAACGGGAGCGGAGCGAAGCCGAGTGTAGAGCTTGAGAGCCGAGGGCGAAGGAGGAACCGTTGGTGTGGCGAGAAGGAAGAAAGAAGAGGAGAGAACGGACACGCACACGCGCGAGCTAGCCGAGCGGTCAGCTAGCGAGGACAAGAGCGCGAGAGAGAGAGGGCGATGTCGGGTCACGTTCCGGCGGCACTCGACGCCTGACGTACGGTTCGCGTACGCTCCGCCGGAAAATGAGAGATAGACCTCCACGTCGCAGCGAGCAGCTGATGGCGGCCGTGCCCAGTGCCAGCGAGTGCTGCTCCTAACATACACGTCCGATACCCCGGAAACGTCGTTGTCCACCGCACATCGGCGTACGGGCGTGCGAGCGCGAGGCGGAGGAGGTGGCGGAGGCGGAGGAGAGGAAGAAGAAGAAGAAGCGGAGTAGTAGCAGTTTGGTGGCGCGTTCTTCGGCGGCCGAGCCAGCGGCAGCGGCAGCAGCAGCGTCGACGGCGACAACGCGTTCGCCGTTTCTCTCTTTCTCTCTCTCTCTCTATCTCTCTCTCTTTCCCGCTCGGTTTCATCGCGCCCGCCTTGCCCCGGCGATTGTGTATACCGTGCGTGTGCGCGCGGCCACATTACCCGCGGCCATTACTTCCTACACGAACGTGCGCCCCGCTGGATCAAGTTGTGCGCGCGAGTCGCGGGTTCTTATTTCGTAACGGTGCCGCTTCTCTTTCCCTCCGCGGCCACCGGCGGCTCGGCCGCGGCACGGGCACGACTCGGCGCGCGCGGCAGCACGGTGTGCTGCGTGCGTGCGTGCGCGCGCGTGCGAGCGATCGAGTGAGCGAGCGGGCGACAGGCGAAATCGTCATCCTCGTCGACGTCGTCGTCGTCGACGTCGTCGATCGAATCCACCCTCGGGCGAGTGGGTCGCGAGTGAGTCGAGGCAGCTGCCACCGGAAGAGAGTCTCTCGCCGGTCGGACGTTTTACGTGCCTCGCACACGGTGTAGGTGGGAGCACCTACGTTCGCGGAAGGCAGGCAGGACGGACGGACGGGCGTGCGTGCGTCCGCATGTGACAACGCCTAGCCGTCTGGAGATCATCGCGCCGCTTCCTCCCGGTGGCGGTGACGGCGACGGCCGGAGAGCCGGCACGAGTGCGCGCGCGGGAGAGGGAGCGCGCGGCGCGGCGCCGCGCGGCGACCAGCCTTCTCGGGGAAGTGACGAGGAAGTAAACGAGGTCGGCGAGCTCTGGTGGTCGGCCGGCAGGGAGAGACGTGCGGAGAGAGAGAGAAAATAGAGTGCTATGCGCGACCAACGTCCTCGGCGGAGCGCACCTCGCCGTCGTCGTCGTCGTCTTCCATCTCCGGTCGCCTCCTCTCGCCGCTGCCGCCCCAGCGCGGCGTGAAGCGCACGCCAGAAGCGTGTCCGTGGCTCGCGCGTGGGTCGTGCGGGGACGCGCGGAGAAGGCAGGGGAGAGTTGATGCGATCGGGTGTAGAGCCGCGTCACGTGCATCCGCGTAACTGTGTGTGTGCCTTTCTTCCTTTCCCCCGTGAGTGCCGAGTGCTTTTGTCGCTTCGACGTCGGCGGCCGGCGGAATATGCGGCCTCCTCGGGACGGTGGTGATCTCGGTATCTAGTCGCGGGACAGAAGCTCTGCTTCCGCGCGGAAAAGGGAGGAGGAGGAGGAGGAGAGGGAGGAAATAGGCGCGAGCGCTCCCCCGTTTGTGAGCATCACCAGGACAGTCCCGCCCCCCCGCAGTGCCTCCGTTAATGCCAAAATGTCGTCAGGGGCCTTCGTCGACAGGATAGACCCCTTCGCCAAGCGGTCCCTCAAGAAGAAGTCCAAGAAGTCGCAGGGCTCCTCCCGCTATCGCAACTCGCAGGATGTCGAGCTCCAGCAGTTGCCGCTGCTCAAAGGTGAGTTTTAGGGGGCGGCGGGCCCTTTCCGCCGCGATTGTCTCCCCACCTTCCGTCCCTTTCACGACGGGGAACAACTGGACAAGTTGGATTGCACGCACATGTACGTAATTAGTGAGTCGTTCCAAAACTAGGTTGAGACCAGCGCGATTTTGACGCAAAGCGAGATCGGACGAGACGCAGTGTCGAGGGCAAAAGCCGCCAGGATCTTGTAGGGATCGGCCTCGTTTTAACGTCGTTTATTCGCCACCGCGACTCGTCGCTCCTTTTATCCCTAGGCGGCGATAAGAGTTTCTCGTGGAGTCACGCCGTCCAATTCCGCGCGGATCTATCGCGCTTTCTCGCGGAGTGGTGCCGCACAGCTTGAGCGCAACATCCTTGGAGTTATTGAGTAATTGGCGGCAAGTCTGCCGCTCCTGACTTGGGCAATTGCGTCACGTGCGCGCGCGGCACACTGCCGATACACGCTGCCGATCGACGAATCGCCGAGAGGGTTTCAGGGGCGAGCGCGACGGAGCTCCACCGCGTTCCACCGTTAATTACCGCGCCCGCCTGTTTACTGGCGACACTGTTAACGTGACCACTTAGGGTGCGCGCACGGTCAGCGAGACGTGGCTCGCAAAAACTTGTTTACCGAGATGTCACGTTGCGCTCGTTAGTGTCGCGCGTTAATCTGTCGAGAGATAGACACGGGATAACCTTACGATTCGCGTGCGCCGGGAGGGCGCACAGCTGGATTCAAATGCGAATCGATATCCTCGGCTCCTCGAGACGGATCGTCCCGCGCGCGCGGGACACACGTGCCCGCGCCGCGAGGATTGGGCGACCAGCGTGCGGCCACGTCGCCGCAGGCAGCATCGCCGAGGCGGTCCGCCACCCGCTTTCCCCGTTCGATCGCGCCCTCGACGGCGCTTCCACGGGGCCGACGAGGGGGTATCGATGACCTCGGTGGGGTTGCGGGCGAAAACGTCGACGCGGCCGAAACCGTCGCGGTCCACGAGAAAGTTGCAAGCTGTATCTGGTCATCCCCCTTTCTCCGCAGCTTCAGGAGGTAATGCGCTTATTCTACAATGGACGCTAAACGCAAGACGCAAAGTCGCAACGCGGGATATTGGCCCAGTGACAGTCGATCGTTCTTCTCATATTTGACTGCGATTGGTCGATTTCTCGACCATTTCGCGTCCATTGTAGAATGAGCTAGGCATCTGCACTAGGCATCTGCACTGCGAGCTCCCCCAGTGAGAAATGATTCGTCGATCGACGTCGAAACGACATCGACACCGTCGAATTGACGTCGATTCGACATCATTTCGACGTCGATCGACGAATCATTTCTCACTGGGCCGTCTTGGGCTAGATCTACAATAGACGCAGCAGGTCACAAGCCTCAAGAAATCGACCAGTCACAGCTAAATGTGAGAAGAATAATCGACTGTCATTGGCCGATTTCTTGCAGCCTGTAACTTGCTGTTGTCTATTGTAGATCCTAAAACCCATATCGGACTACGGATCGAGATTGGGATTAGATTAAAATTTGACCAATCACAGTAAAGTTTATTAATCTCAAGTGTAGTAACTTTTACTCTAGTTGATCAAATTTCAATCTAATCCCAATCTCAATCCGTAGTCTAATACGGGCTTTAACTGGACGACAAACGTCGGCGATCGCGGTTTCATCAGGAATGCCGCGTGCTCCTTGACGATAACCGGCGCTTTTCTCGCGTTTCGTACCTACAGAAATCACGCGTGCGGATCCGGAAGAGCCGAGACCAGCTGTGCAAGTGCGCACATCGTGAGTCTAGCGTTCGACTTAAGACCGTATCAGACTACGGATTCAGATTGGGATTAGATTGAAATTTGACCAATCACAGTAAAGTTTACTAATCTCAAGTTTAGTAACTTTTACTCTAATTGATCAAATTTCAATCTAATCTCAATCTCAATTCGTAGTCTGATACGGGCTTTAGGCTGATGGCAGAAAACGATCCGTAAACGCTTAAGGGTCAGAGCACAAAGCAACGTAATAGCTTACGGCAATACATTACATTGCTTTGTGCTCGGACCCTAAGACTGTCTTGGTCGTAGACGTAAGGCAAGGCAGAGGAAACCGTAAGCCGTGTACAATAGCCTTTTACGACTTACGTTTTTGGGCCTGAGCAGAATGGCTGTCTTGTTTTATGTTTTAAATCTTTGTCTTAAAGCAACGCACAATAACTGTCTAGTGACTTAAGAATACAAGACAGCCATTCTGCTCAGGTCCTTCCTCTGTCTTACGTCTACTAAATACTAAGTAGACTTAAGCGTTCACGGATCGTTCTCTGCCACCAGCCTTAGCCCAGCCATATCTCGCCGACATCACGCTGGATAAATCTGCGGCGCAATCGGTGACAAAACGAAGGGGAGGACAAAAATGGCAAAAAATGCGCAGGATGAACTTCCGAGTCGCGCGGCAGGAGAGAAGTAATAACACATTGCATCGTGTGTGCCGCATGACCGTGGTCTGTTCGCGACCAGATACGATGCTCGCGGCGACCGTCTGCCGAATAGCGAGACACTTGTTACGCGCGACTGCAAAAGTCTGTTTACGGAACGTAGCCAGCGGGCACCGATATCCGACTGCTGGTTTTCGCCGCACCCCTCGAAACGGGCGAGACGCACCGACGAAACCGCGACGCGCGGATACGCCCGCGGCTAATTGTTACGAGGGACGACCAAGTGTCTCACGAGTGTGGTACGTGCGCATATTGCACGCTACCGGCTTTCCACCTTGTCGAGAATTGACCAGAGAGAGAGAGAGACGTGCACGTCGTGCAATTTTCATCCGCCTGGAGCTTGACTCGTCGCGCGACGAATCCACAGTAATAAATAAGGGTGTGTCTTCGGGGAGGTAGGCACACTAAGACGTGCCACTTCTTAATTTTCAGCGAGAAAAATAACGAGCTAGGACTAGACCAGGATTCGAACCTGGGACCTTCTGCTTGCCGGGCGAATGCTCTACCAACTGAACTATCCGGGACCACACTCGAGATCCTTCTCGCTTACCTACTTTATTTTACTGAATAAAGTAGAAATAGTATACTATAGCAGCGCGACTCCAGAGCGATGCGTGGCATCTTGCTCAATTGTCACCCGGAAAGAAGCGGTCGGGGGTTATCGACGTGCGACCGTATGATTCTCCACGCCGATCGAATTCGCCGCTCGAGCGAGCGTGCGCGGGCGGGACGTAATGACTGGAAACGCAACGTGCGACAGACAACCTGCGATAAGGAAATTGAAGGGAGACGAACGTGGGCCCCGAGACTGCCGGCGATAATTGTAAAGAAAACGAAGAAACGTTATCTCTTCGTCCTCGGCCGAAACGTTTCCCGCGGAACGACACAAGTAACGACTGCTGGGCGACAGACCTCGGGTCGCGGTTGCACCTGGAATTGCGTTTCTGGTGTCCAAACGAGATTTTCGTTCGTTGCGGTCAAAAGTGTCCAGAGTGCGGCGCGTCCGGAAATGAACGGGACCAGGTTCTTCCATATCTCTCGGCCGCTGTGCTTCTGGAAGCGATTACAAAAATCGCGTTAGAAGATAATTTTCGTCATTCAGGCACGAGCAGTATACTAATAGTGTCTCTCCTGTAATCCCACAGATCGTTGACTATTCTGACGTCCCACTCGTTTTCAGATTCTCGGCGCCGCACTCAGGCTCGCCCTATGCTCCTCGCGATCGACGAGGGAGCTTCTCGGCGGGAGCTTTGTCACTCGCGCCACCGCTCGTCGCTGTTTCCCGCGGGGATTTATGGAGAGGTGTCTCGGGCGTAGAGGTCGTAGGCGCGACCGCGTGATTCAAAGTGCGCACACCTGCTTTTGTGGGATCGACCGCGACTCACAGTACACGCTCCTGCCTTCTATTTCTGGAGAGGGATACAAAGACACAACGGCAACGTAATAGCCTATTCACGAGGCTTACGTCCGTCGGTGGAGAGGGGGGAGGGGACCGTGATCGTCACGCGATATGAATCTCAAAGATTCTGGCCGTCGACTTTGTAACCACGATCGAACGACATGACGCTCCCAGTGCGCGCTACTCCGCCACGTGTAGCGTGGCCGGGAGGTCCTCCCCGTCTCTCTCTCGCGCGCGCTCACCGCCACCGCCATCTGAACGGAGTCGCACCGACGGGAACTAGGGATCAACATGGCGACCTAAAGGGCTCAAAAAAAAGAAGGGAGGAAAAAGCCACGCTAATCGCGGTGTAGATCCTAGGGAGCCCGCGAGCTCGCGGACGACGTTCACCCAGAGGAACGAGAGGAGACGATCCTCCGCGTCCGTTTCACACGGTTTCCCACGTGGATCGCACACAGTTTTCCGCGACGTTTGTTTTTGTCGCGGAGAGACCGTTCGATTCGTACGAGATTGTCGAAATGAGCCGTTGGCGAAAGGTCGAGGCAGTTTTTTTTTCTTTTTGTGCCTTTACCTCCTCTGTATTTAGCTGCCTAATTAGGTCCTTACTATGTAAATGTTTTTTTTTTTAGACGGGCAATCAATGTTGTTAATGAGACGCAAATGCGCACGATTATTATCGAGACAATTAACACGCCGAGGGGGAAACCGCATTGTGGTGTACAGATTTGCGGCATTACGGGGCATTACTGGGCATTTTTTTTAGCATTAGTTTGGGCATCAAGCCTTGCTGGGATATTATGAAGATAAAATAAGATAAAATAAAATTAAACGAGAAAAATAAGATGAAATACGATAATAAGATAAAGTAATGCCCACTGGGCATTAGTGGGCATTGGTGTACAAGATTTTGGTCAGCGGTTTCCCCCTCATAACGCGCTCACGGGCTGGAGAGCGCGACGAGTTCGGACGTGCAAAATGAATATGCGTTATAATGGAAGCGATCGCGCGTAAGAGGATTATTGATAGTCAATCGGAGTAAGAGACAAAGGGGCGAAAGAGGTGTGAATTAAGAGCCGTATCCGTCCTGTCAAGTCAATATTACACGCGGT